CCGAATATTCCGATGTCGGATTCCAGCGAGAACACACCGACTTTTTCTATCATCATCATCATCATCATGATGGATTGATCAATATATACACTCATTCAATTATCCTCAATGTTGACTGCCTCATACACACTCTTGTGACAAAAGGTCTGTTGAGCTTCTTGTCCTACAATTCAAGCATGTCTCATCTTAGTCACCATTCGTGCTACTTCATTGAACCAAATTCGTCCTCCAGTCAAATATCACCATCGTTGACATTTTTTTCCCCGACTGTTCAATGCAACGCCAACAGTCGTCATAGGACGGCAGCGTGCAGTTTTGTGAAGGACATGTGTGCATACCTATATACGATTTTCTCGTTTGTGCGATGATCCAAGATCACGTCTAAAACGAGACAAGAAAGGTTCTCCCCGTTTTCATTATGAACTCGCCAGAGGTAGCTAATGTTCGGTCAGGCTGCTGTTGGTACTCAAAGTCTGACGAGGACAACGAAGAAGAACGGGGTTGCTGAACCCAACCCCGGCGAGTTGACTCTAGAATGTGCCCCTGAAGATCAGCCTCTGTGTACGGTCCTTCTGAAGCGCCATCTTAAGGAATACCGTAGAATCTTGTTCAGGTGGTTTTCCGCTCAACCCCTGTATACAAGGCTTTGGTAGGTCAGTCGTGGGGAAGTAGTTCTGTTAGTAATAATTCGACCAATCAATCCCCCTGTTTACGGGGGAGGGCGGAAAACCACTTGAACGAGATTCTACGGTAAGCGCGTAACAAGAAATGCTGCTAATTGGTCGCTTGGTTCCATGGCTTCGTGAGGTGGCTTCTGTGCCTCCTGTGCCTCTCTTGGCGTGCGAAACTAGATGGCTGAAATGAGAGGGGCTTCGGGCGCAACCTGGTTCACTGGTGCCTGATTTTCAGCACCGTCGGGGGCAGATCGATCAGCACAACATCCCACCCACCCACTTCAAGAAATGGCAGCCCAGACTCTTGCCAGCGGACTGGCTTCCGACCCTTTTCGCACTATTTTCACATCGAACGCAACTCCCACGAGCATTCGCAGACTACATCTGATCGGGAGCCGCAAGAAGATGACTGCTGAGCTTCGAGTTATTTCCTCTTCGCCTCACTCGACTTCCAACCAACAGCAAAAGTCGCAATGTCGTTATACGATTCAGGAGAGACGAGGAACGACAATTTAGCGAGGCGGCCTCATACGGACAATGGAGGAGCAAAAGAACCACCCGTTTCTCAGAAGGATGACAGATCCAACACAAGTACCAACGACGAGTCTGCATCTCAAACAGTTTATCGATGGCTACCTGGCCGTTGGAAACGGATACCGTTTCTCGCTGCCCTGTCCATTATCATGACTTGGGTGCTTTCCGGCACAATGATAGTTGTCGTTCTTGTTGCTGACGGCACTGCTACCGGTTCTTGGACAGTATCTCCAACTGTGCTGGCTGCCATCATTGCAACAGCCGCAAACATCCTACTCCAGCTTGCGCTTTCCAAGGGCATCGCGGTTTCGTGGTGGAGAAGGAGCATAGAGGAACCAACTTCAGTCCGAGATTTGCACGCCCGATGGATCGTTGGACAAGGCTTTGTTGACGCAGTGGAAGAAGTCGTTTTACGAGGACCCAACATCGCCGCTATTGCCAGTATTATGGCCACGATAGTCGCTATCAACTCCCCGCTAATACAGAGGGCGTTGACTCCAGGGCACGGAACCTTCGAGGGCCGCTTTGATCTGGGCGAGATCCGTATAATCCAGCAGTTGCCCCGGGGTTATTCTGGAATTTGGGACCACGACACAAAGTCCATTGGATATCCGACCGAAACGTTCAGCGACTTGGCAAGGCGGTATTTCTACTACCCAGGAATCATCCTAGAGAATAGGGCAGCGATCGGGGAGAATCTTGCATTTTGCGATGGGACATGCGCTGGTTGGCTCAAAGGAGCTGGCTTCTCCATTAGCTGCGATGCAGTGACCATAACTGAGCTGCCAAATCTCCACGACGCCAATGGAGCATACAATAAATCAACCGAGGTATTTTCGAGTGCCATCCGGTACAGCGAATATCCCGATTATACTGTCACGTCACCTGGATCAACCGCCAACCCTGTCACGCAGGATATACCTCGAGATTTCACGTACGACTCTGTTTGGAAGGCCGAGACTGGCTGCCCCAGCGACACGAAGAGTATAAGATTGGTCTCTCAACATTGTACACTTCGGCCTGCGATCGTGGATTACCCTATTGTTGTTATCAACGGAACTCTCTCTCTTGATCCGAACTACGGTTACCAGTCTGACAAAACGGTCTCCCTTGAGACTGATCAGCAGATGAGAGATGACGTTGATCCAAACATGCCTGTCAATACAACTCAGGGATCCTCGACTTTTGGGGGTATTGCTTCACTACTTGTGAGACGATTTTCCTCGCGAGTAAGCATGACAATGGAGAACGGGGGATGGAAGTAAGAAGCGGAGGGCTTGCTGGCATTTGAACTAGCCCGTTATGGCACATCAATGCTGAATGGAAGCTGTGCTCCAGCATTCGTGGATCCAGTACCATGGGTCTTCCAAGCTGTTCGAGAACTCATGTTTCGAGCCTCCGTGGAAGTGCCTATTGATGACTATCAGAGAAGGCGGTCTCAATTTTCACTGGACGAAAACTACGTGCTTACTGGACAGAAGCAGCGGCTTCAGGGCGAACACAGGGGACTTTCCACCATCTATATCGCCAACCACTCGTACCTATATGCCGCTGCTGCCATAACATTTCTTACGGGGCTCATGATCACACCCTTATTCTATGGTTATGCTAACTTGGGCCGACTGGTCTCTCTATCTCCTCTGGAGATAGCGAAAGCATTTGATCCTCCTCAGTTGCGTGAGGCTGCTTCCAACTCCGATGCGAAGACATTATTGGGTTCTCTGGGCAATAAGCAAGTGAACTATGGTATAGTCCATCGACATACATCACGCGGCTCGGCACTTCTCATGTTTGCGGATGCGGAGACTGCTCGGAAGCCAAAGCCGGGTACAGAAATACCAACATAGTATTCACTGTCAGCAGTTGAAAGCGACCTGAGTCTTCAAAAGTTCAATAGATATTTCTTTAACATTCCACCTTTCGACCGCCTGCGGCGGTCTAAATTGAACCACAAAAATGACAGTGTGTTCTTTGAATTTGAGATTATCCCGAAAGATCTTATCTGTGTCTGCTCACGGACAAAGCCAATCATTCACTCGTCAAGCCTGCTTCGGTACTTCGCTCTGAATCCATTCGTTGAACGTTGTTGGCTTCAGTTGAGTCTTCAACCATGGCAAGTCGGCCCCATAATCTCTGTCGCCGATGAATCGGAACATTGTGTTCAGATCGTTGACCAGCCAGATGATTCCTCTTGCCAAAAGCCCTGTTGTGACCGGAACACCCCTGCCTGTATGCTTCATGAAGGCCGCGTCAACCTGGCCGAAACTCATCTCATCGCTTGCAATTGAGAGAGCTTGGTTTCGTATGCCAGTTCTGTCGGGCCTGACCAGACCCTCGACTGCCCATCTGCCAATGTCTTTGGTGACTGTAACTTGCAATGTCTTCCCTCCCAGGTTATCTCTCCATCCAGTCATGCACAGCTGGCCGGGAAATCCCCACCAGGCATTGTCAGCAAACCAAGTTGGGCGAATGATAGTATAGTCCATGTTATGCGTTTCGCCCTCTTTAGAACTACAGGCATTTTTCAGGTGCCGTTCAATGTAGAACTTGTCTGAAAATGTCTTGCAGTATGAGGGGTCCTTGTCGCTCAGTTCGCGTCCACCGCGGTCCACAGATGAATACACGAAGTAGGGTATGCCGTGGGCCACTGCGGCGTCGATAAATGCCTTTCCGTCTGGTAGCTCGGTTGGTCCATGGGCCTGGGCGAGGAAAACTCCCGACTGACTCAACGTTTCTTGGTTGAGTTGTTCAAAGATGGCATTGGGGTTGCCCAAATCCCCAACCATAATGTTGATTCCACGGAACTTCTCTCGTAAGCGATCAGCAGCGGTTCCCGCCGCCTGTCGAGTGATTGCGTAAACTTGAGTTGGGAGAATCTTGATTTCGGCATGCGTTAACAATGCGTCGACAACGGCACCACCTTGGCGGCCAGTGGCCCCCAGTACGATGAAGGCCTTGATTTCAGACATGAGAGCTTGGTTTCGCTGTTGAACGCGGACGATCTTCAGGGTGTGCTCTTGTCTTCCATCGCATTTTGATGGGCTTCACCTCGTTTTATCCAACAACAGGATTGGTCCTATTGCATCCGGAGCATCAAGATCGTTGGCCTCTGCGACAGTGAGAGTGCAACCAAAGGGCTCCGAGCAAGGAGTTACCGCGCGCAACTTTTATCAGCATAGGAACAGTCGTCAGCTGTGGCGCTTTAGCGTTGGTAATCAAGATTTCACTAAACCAATATTGCTCGGGCTTTCTTTGCTTGTAAGTCCCGACCCGCGCGCTTAGCCACCTAGACTATGCCTTTGCGGCCCCGAGAACACAATTCAGATCCGATGCGAGCTCGAAGACACATGTGCAGTACGTGACGGGTACTTTAAGGAGTAATGGTAGAGGGTTGATCTAGACACCATACACTTAGTGAACGGTTCCCAAATGAGTAGGTACTGAGGAAAGCCTTTCATGGAAACCACATCAACCAATGCTCCTTGTTTTGTGCGTTCTATGTTCCTTTCCAAAGGCACTGTGTCAAATATTCATACAGAACAGTGATATATTTGAATGGGAATACAGCAGTTAAGCAAACTTTCGTCCAGAAATGTTTACAACCGAAGCAACTTTGACTTCAATAAACGTCATCTCGATGGGTATTGCAAAAGAAACAAGGTCTCTCACAGTACAAGTGATAGATTCTGCCCAGTAAAGATACAGTGCACAAACAAAACTGCACCGAGCAACATTGGAGCTGTACCCCTCAACACTAGCCACCATAAGCCACTGCCTCTGCACCGCACCTAAAGTGGCAGCCCAATAATAGGGCTCCTTCTTTAGAATTTCGGTGGACCCCTGGCCCTATTGGGGCTGTCCTCCATGACACCCCGCGTGTTGTGCTCCCTTCCATCAACATGACTCAACATGACTCAACTACGGAACGTTAAAAGACTCAAGTTCACCAAGCATCTAACCGCACAAGACTCTCCGTAAACTTATCCAAACGAGACTCATCTTACATTATGGCTGCATACATTCGAGTATTGTCAATTGATGACCTAGACCGATGCTCCGTCGTTGAATCAGCAGCTTTCCCGCCCGCGGAGGCAGCAACTCGCGAAAAGGTACGTAACCATCTCTGGACCGAAGACGATCTCGCAGGCATCTTATTCCTCGCTTCTCCGTCCTTGATATTTCTACCTTAGTTTGACGTTTGAGACGCTGTCCTAGATTGATTATCGCCTGAGTGTTTGCCCCGACCTTTGCTTGGGCTTGTTTGTCCCTGAGAACTCGACAATCGCCAAACCTGAGGGAGATATCCCGGTGTTCACTGCTCCTCCGACTGGTTCCGGCAATGACAAGCTTATTGCGCATATAATAGCGACGAAGTCAACGTCGCGAGTTGTCAAGGATGAGGACATGTCTTTCCCGCCGACCTGGAAGACGGATCCCACTGCCCAGTACGGTGTTGGTCATCAGGCCGAAGGAAGAACCATCGCTCTTCACTCGTTGGCTGTGTCGCCAACTTACCAGAGATCCGGATTTGGAAAGAAGCTCATGAAGTCTTACATTGAGTACATGAGGCAGAACGGCCAGGCAGATAGGATCTCAATCCTTACCTACGACAGACTCTTGCCTTACTATCAAGCCCTAGGCTTCACGCACTATGGCAAGAGCGCCTCTGAGTACGCAGGCGTTGCTTGGCACGATCTGGTTCGTTTCTTGACGCTATTTCACAATATTCTCAGACAGGAGCTTACAGACTTTAGGCATATGAATACTCGGCTGATGCCTAATTCATGTTTTCGTGATTGGCATGACCGTTCGTTCGGGCCTCATCCACGCACTGCAACATCCACATGGGGCTAAGTAGTAAACAATAAAAGGGATGGAACGCGCATATATCACATTTATTCATGCCTAAATAGAACATCCTCCCCTGGTATTGAGAACAAGCAATGCTGAAGTGGCAACCTACTTCTGTGAGCTAATGCTAACAAGCAAAGAAAATCGCGACGTAGGCGCCTCATCGCAGATGACGTACAGTTGGATGACATGCTACTCAATGCAGTCAATGGTGTCACAGCACACGGGTGTGTTTGCGCTGACATCGAAGCATCTGAAGCTGAGCTCTCCGCTGCATAGACCATTCCGGGGTCCACATCTGGCGTTCACACCTGTGCTGAACGTGGCGAGGGCCACAGTGAACGCTGCGACGATTGTGTTCGAGAACTGCATTGTGAAGTGAGAAAGCGTTGGCGGTGAAATGAATCGCAGTTGAGTTGGAAGAATGAAGAAGGTACGGACGAGATGAGTGCACTTGAAGGTTAGGTTGTGACTATGCAGGACCGACGTTGCCCATTTATGACATTTTCTGGCGCGTGCCGAGTATTTCGCGGATATCATCCGACCAGAAACAGCCGTATTCACGAAGGGCCATGACTACTCCTGGTTCATTCTGTCTCATCGATGCTCGGAGGAGCTCATCTTGTAGTCGAGTCAGATGGGGTATTAAAATAGTTATTTTGCAATCAAGAATGGATATTCGACGCAATCAGTCCCTTGCGACTCCGTCTATCCTCAAGATGTCGCAGATCGCACAAAGTAGAAGATCGTCACGCCGGGAATGGTGTGCAACGACTCCGTAGGACCCAGTATTCCCTCCAGTTTCAGGAAGCCGGTGGGTGTGCCAAGCACAGTCCTGTAATCCAGAGGCAATAGTGCTCGTGTCTCAACATGATTTCCATGGTCTGGCAGAGCTGTTGATAAGGTAGATGGATTGAGTCTTGCATGCGTGGTATCGCTCGCTCCACGGAACGGCTTTGATAGAACCTTCAGTTACAGGCAGCTGCTCGGTATCCGTACAAATGCAAGTCATCGCAAAGCTTAATCCTAACTGCGCCAAGCTGCCGGCTATTGTAGCACATGATTCGTGTGCCCGCTGGCTCGTAGCGCCTCTGTTGCACGGGAACCCCCGCTAAGACGCCCGGAACTTTGACGGACACATCACTGTTCGTCTCATGGCCCGATGTCTCAGCAGGTTTTTCAAAAGCTCACGTGGCAACTCTGGTCTATGACAGCTACTTCATCCTCATGCAGCCGGCGATTTTGACACACCACCTAGCATTGCGCATCCCACGACCGACTTGCCATCATGGTACGAACGATTGACCTCTTGAATGGTGACTTTACGGTCCACATCGACCGAACGACGGGCGCTGTCTTAGAGATTGTGGACCCTTCTGCCGACATTCCACTCAACTGGGTCAGTTCCCCAGCTAATGCACCCTGGCAGCCCCTGGGAAGTCGCTGGGGACTAGGCTTCGCGGACCTCGGTGCCAATCTACTGCATCGGGTGCACTGGAACAGTCCGCACATCGAATCCTCGGCTGAGCACAATGCTACGGACGCCAAGTACTGTTACGGCCCACTAGAGGTCCTTGTGCGCCGTCGTCTTGACAGTCAAACTGGTTCCTTCACAGAAACCTACGAGTTCACGAACAGGGGAACATCACCGCTTAATCTAGCTGCGAAAGGCGAGCAGTCCTTGGCAATTTACACGCCATTCAACGACCACTACACCAACACCACTGATTCTTTGGAAAACCGCACGCACGCACATGTTTGGGCGCATGGAGGCTGTTCATCATGGGTTAAGCTTAGTCAAATGGGCGGTCGCGGCCGTGACTTAGGCCTCGTTCTGACGCGAGGAGCTTTGTCGGGATACAGCATTGAGTCTCGAGATGAAGTAACCCATTCAAACACTCGGGGCGTCTTTCTTCTTCACCCGTCCATGCCGGTGCTGCAGCCGGGTGACTCCGGTGTCGTCGAGTGGACCTTTTTCTGGCATTGTGGTTGGGACGACTTTTTCTCTCAATGTGCCCGTCGTTCGAGTCAGTTCATCCATTTCGACATTCCAAAACACACTCTCGTCAGTGGGGAGAGCGCCACTATTCGCATGAGAGGCAGTTCGAAGGCTGTCAACTCCACAACAACAGTCAATGGACGAGAGGTCCTACAGACGAAAGACGGCTTTCATTATATTCATGATGCAGGAGATTTTGGCGAGAAGACATTGCGGATTTCTACCGGAAAGGGGAACGAGCGACGAGAATCGCTCATCTTCTTAAACACGGTCCCCAGCTACGATGACTTGATTCGAAGTCGAATCAGATTCATTGTCGATCACCAACAAGTCACGGACACCAATGATTTCTTACATGGTGCCTACATCGTCTTCGACAACCAAGCAGAGGCGCACCCGTTCTACGAGACTCAACAGGATCGAAACGCAGGGCGCGAGCGAGTGGGGATGGGTGTTTTGATTGGTCGATGGCTGAAGAAACATCCCGATGCTAGATTGCAGGAGTCATTTTCGGCGTACTACTCCTTTGTATGCACAAAGCTTCAAGACAAGAACGGCTTCGTCTACGATGCGCCAGTTGGGACAGGTACTAGCAACCGGAAGCGCCTCTACAATTGGCCATGGGTTCTGCAACTTCACTTGGTAGCTGCTGCAATCGGTATCCCGGCCGTTTTGGGTAAAGCTCCCATGGAGAGGTTCATGATGACCCTTGAGAACTTCTATGCTGAAGGTGGCGAGTCGCTCTATGCTATCGGGCTGCCCGTACTTGAGGGACTTCGAATGCTTCAGGCTTCAGGGGACGAGAAGTCATTTGAGCGAGCCAGAGATCTATTCATTGGGCACGGGCACAATATCCTTAGGCGCGGAACGAATTATCCCCCGTTCGAAGTTAATTTTGAACAGTCTATTGTTGCGCCTGCAGCGAACATTCTGTTTGAACTTTATCGATCAACAGGGGATAAAACTTGGCTTGATGGCGCCCAGGCTCAACTAGAGGTCCTTCTCAGGTTCGCCGGAAAGCAACCAGACTACAGAGTTCATGACGTCGCCATTCGACACTGGGACGGGCATTGGTTTGGGAAAGATCGCATGTGGGGGGATACATTTCCTCATTATTGGAGTACTCTGAATTCGATTGCCCTGCATCACCAGAGCAAGGCGACTGAAGATGCAAGGGCTCAGAAACAAGCCGACGGAATCCTTCGAGCCAACATGGCACTCTTTACCCCTGAAGGTAGAGGGTCCTGCGCCTGGATTTATCCCACGTCCGTGAACGGGAGAGCTGGACACTACAAGGATCCGTATGCGAACGATCAGGACTGGGCACTCGCCCATCTTTTACAAATCGAGGAAGACAACATGTTGTCGGTTTAGCACAATAGCGTTGTCTCAGAGGATCAGCTTCCAATATGCTTCTTGTTTTCCGTTCTCTCCAATATACTCAGACATAGACTTGAATTACGTTAGACTTGATTAATGTATCTCAATCTGTTTGTGTCAATAGCCTGTGTGATTGCGGCCAACTCACTCAGGCCGTTATTAGAGACAAAGTATTGCCCAACGTGCCTAACACGTGCTACCGGTCTTTCTTACGGTTTGGCACGCGGGACAAGTCCATCCGGGCGATGCTAAGATTGGAGCAAAACTTCCTGATACTTGTAAGAGGATCGCGTGTGAGACGCCTTCGACGTCTAGAGCTGATGGCTGATAGTTTGAGCGCAGCCATCAATCTTTCTTCCCTTGAATCCTGACATGGCTGGATTCCTTTTACAAGCCGACTTGAGAATAAGATTTGGGAAAGCGATGCCCGGCGCACACTTAACTGTGTGCGGTACTTTCTTCTTCGGATCGCATCTCATTAGTTCGTCGTCAGTGTAAGTGGCGGCTATACACAGCCGTTGCTAACTACATCCGTTCAACTGACTCGGCGCTAAGTTGTTGAACTGCACTGTCATAGGACCGCCTCCAATTTTAGGCTCCCTCTTCTTTCACCTAGTTGTCTACGCTTTCTTTGATGACTTTTGGTGATCTGATCAAAGGAAAAGGTTCGTCAATCCTATTGTTTGGTTTCTTTTTTATACGTATCATACCGGCCATCATATCCAAAAGTTGCTTGACAATGCAGGTTCACATTCATTTGCCAATCAAACCCTTCCAATAAAATGAGTGACTCACCACCGCATGTTTTCGAAGACAAGTCTTCGGTGGCATATGGCGTCGTCGCCTTCTTACTACTTTTGTCGTGTTTAATGGTATTCCTGCGATCATGGACACGTGCAAAAATCCATCAATGGGGGGCTGACGACTGGGTAGCCCTTCTAGCATTGGTCAGTTCTCAAGTTTGCTGGGTATTGGCCATGGGAAGTTAACAATCAGGCAGTCAATGATTTTTGCTTGCGGAATTAGTATTACTCAAAGTAAGTTGACCCGTACGAAAATCTCCGGCAACGGTGACGATACTCATATATGTGCTCCTCTCAGTGACTAGATATGGGTTGGGGAGGCATGCTTCGACTCTGTCGCCAGAAGATCTTGTTTTATACCAGAGGGTACGTAAGTCTATTTTGTATATTTTCTCATCAGCTGACAATGTGAAGGCTTTCTTTGTATCCCTATTTTTCTATATCACGACTCTCGCTGTCGTGAAACTCGTGTTCCTACTCCAATACTACCGCATCATGTCGGTGTCGAACATGCGTGTGGTTTACATTGCCATGATTGTGTTGGTAGCGGTCTGGGGCATCGGACAAGGAACGTTTGCACTTGTTGCATGCATCCCTCTGGAAGGATTTTGGAACCCTAGTGTTCATGCAAAGTGTGTTCCAAATGCCCACATTGCTTGGTACATCAGCGCGCTGTTCAACATATTTACCGACATCATCATCATGATTCTTCCTCTCCCAGTCATCCGGAAGCTGAATCTTCCCGGTTCACAAAAAGCTTTCCTTATTGGTATTTTCAGCGTCGGCTTCTTGTAAGTTGCTCTTCCCACCGAGTCAACCTCACTTGCCAGTTTGAAATCTGACTGTGATTAATTATTTCAAGGACCGTGGCAATATCCGCTATGAGAATCAAGTTTCTTACGCTTTTGCCGGATCCAACATGGTCCAACTTCGAACCCGTCCTTTGGTCTCTCGCAGAGTTGACATCGGCCATTACTTGCGCTTCTCTGGCTACCCTGCGGCCTCTTCTCACGCGCTTGAGCAAAACACGCGAGAGAATTAGCGACACAGAAAGCGTGGCCCAAATGGTCGCAACCAATAAGCTTGCGGGCAAGTCTTTCCCACAAGTAGCCCCGTCATCAACAGGTACCCGAGAGACTTTGGTGATCTCAAGTAACGACATCAATCCCTTGACTCAAGAAGTGTGAACGAACAATTTCTACTGTTCTCCTTGATTTTTTAGTGGTCAAAACAATGCAGCAGGCGATATCATATACTCAGTATGCATAGATGCGGAACAACGTGGGCACCTTAGCACCTCAGTTATTATCAATTCTTTGAGTACAAAGCTATGTCTGATGCTTCTTGGAACAGAATTATTTTGCAATGTGATAAGCCTGCATGAGGACTAAAGTCGATTGATCATGCGAGCTTGGATTGCCACCTGCCAAGAAGTAGGAAGTTTTTGCCATATCTCCGCACGATTTCACCATCAACTCCGACCTAACTGGCCTTGGCTTTTATGAGCTCTGGTGCATCATTCATGAGAGTAGCATCATAGCTTACCATGCATAATTTGATCAGACTGGATCTGAGACGATGTGCATTCAAGTGAAGAGAATACTTCGACAGCGTGTCTTGAATTAGATGTGGAACATGCACATGGTCTGCATCGAAGCCAGGCAGACAGCCTAGACAGGAGGGACTGAGACATCGTCAGATCGACCATCATATCCAGGTCCCAAGCATTTGTCACTCCGATCACTTGATGTTATATACCATCGCCCTTGCGTTTGACGCCATTTGCCAAGATGCTCTCCGTCATTCATGGCCAACCACAAGCCGCACTTTCTCAATGATGTGACTGCAAAGTAGATTTATATATGACGAAGATTCGACAAAGACAGTCACAATCGAGCGGCAGTAGCCAAGGACGAATGGGCGTGCCATTTGACGGCTCAATGACGGTCCCAACAAAAGTGTCAATACATGATATATTAATTTAAAGCCCGCTAACCAGGCAGCGCATGCCAGTCAACCCTTCGCTTCAATATCCGAACGCAGTTCAACATGATGGACCCAAAAGACAACGTGAACACCTCAGCTACCGCGTCTGTACTCAGCATCGGCATGCGAGCCGTGGACGAGAAAGCGACCCTGCCGTCGGACTCGGAGACAACGCGAGACATTCGGCAACGTATCCTGGAAGACCAGGCTGGTTCAAGCGCGACACAACGGCCGACAACTAACCTGTCCAGTCTCTGGCGTCGTCAGAACAACTCAAAAAGGCCCGGTGACATTGCGACTCAACCTTCCGTATTCGACGATCCCCAACTAGCGGTGTATTTCCAGCCGTCAGACAAATACGAGAACCGGCATCGTTTCGATGCGAACTTTCGCTGGACTTGGGCTGAGGAGATACCACTGATCAGGAAGATTGACTGGCGTGTGACAGCCTGGTCTTGCCTTGCGTTTTTCGCACTCGATCTAGACCGATCCAACATTAGCCAGGCCAACTCGGACAATTTTCTGGAAGATCTAGGCTTGGACACGAATGACTACAATTTTGGTCAGACGGTGTTCCGAGTCTTCTTCTTGCTGGCTGAATTGCCGAGTCAATTGATCAGTAAGAAGATTGGACCGTACGCTGATACCCATACGCAATTGCCGCTCTGATGCTGCGACGTGCTGTTAACACGCAAGCCTAGCGATCGTTGGATCCCTGCACAAATGATCCTCTGGAGCATCGTGAGCGCCTCCCAATTTTGGCTCAACGGGCGGTCTTCGTTCCTGGCGACCCGCGCAATCATTGGGCTGCTTCAGGGCGGTTTCATTCCCGATGTCATCTTAGTACGTCCACGTCATGGCCTAATTCAGCCACCAACGGCCTTCATCCGCTAACCTTTTGCTCTACTTTAGTACATGTCCTACTTCTTCAAGAGCACTGAGCTCCCATTTCGTTTGGCCTTGTTCTGGATGGCGAATCGTTTAACCGATGTCATTGCGCCGTTACTAGCGTACGGCCTTCTCCGTCTTCGAGGGTACCATGGCTACGAGGGATGGCGGTGGTGAGGTTTCATTCTTCCACTGCCGACATGCGGATGTTGACCGAGCTTAGGCTATTCCTTCTCGAAGGCATACTGACGTTAGTCATTGGGATCTGGTCCGTGTTTATCATGGTGCCCTCTCCCACACAGACAAAGGCGCTTTGGCGGCCTAACGGATGGTTCACCGAGCATGAAGAAAAGATCATGGTGAATCGCATCTTACGAGATGACCCGTCCAAGAGCGACATGCACAACCGCCAGGCCATAACGTTGAAGATGCTGTGGGAATCGCTGTGTGACTACGACCTATGGCCGATCTACATGATCGGCCTTACGTTTTCTATTCCAGCCGGACCACCTGATCAATACCTAACTCTAACTTTAAGACAATTGGGCTTCGACACCTTCGACACTAACCTACTTAGTATCCCTTGCCAAGTTGCAACCACAACCAATGTGAGCAGAAACAATGTGGGTTTCTTCGGAACTTTCAATGAGAATTAACATCAATAGATGCTCATCTTGACGTGGATTTCAGAAAAGATCAACCAGAGGGCATTGCTTGGCATTCTCGTCGAGCTATGGCTGCTCCCCTGTGTCATTGCCCTTGCAGTGATCCCCTCCGGCGTCAGCAGATGGGCCACATATGCGTTGGTAATCGTACTATTGTCTTATCCCTCCCCCCATCCCATGTAAGTGTGTCAATGCACCTACCCTTTCTAGGAGTTTCCTTGACACTTGACAAGGCAAGTTGGCTGGGCGAGCCGCAACTCCAACACCGTCAGGACAAGAACGGTCTCGGCCGCGCTCTACAATATGTCTGTTCAACTTCAATCCATCATCAGCGCCAACATCTACCGACGAGACGATCGTCCGGAGTACCGCCGTGGCAATAGGGCGCTGGTCGGAATCGCAAGCCTCAACGTGGTGATCTACGCGGCTGCTAAGGTCTATTATGTCTGGAGGAACAGACAGCGAGACCGGATCTGGGACGCCATGTCACCGGAGGAGCGCCAACGATACCTCGATACCACCACAGACAAGGGAAGCAAGAGACTGGACTTTCGATTCGCGAGTTGATTTTCTGCTCTGTAGGATTTTGCTGGGTTCTGTGTTGGGACTTTGCTGGGCCTGCCTTATGGAAGTAGTAGTCGATGGAAGATCGCTTGCTGGGGGTCGGCATGTTATCTCCACCGGATGGCGAAGGGGTTACCCTCCAAATATCAGTGCGCGCAGGCATTGTTGGTTTAATTGGGACCAGCGGACATGCATCCGTGATAACCGGGCGCTGCTCGTACTTACGAACAAGGGTGAATCTGACGCAATGCGATGGCAAAAGTGGGAACGGACGAAGTTGACCGCGATTTTGGGTATTTGTCCGATGAATTCCGACAGGATGGGAGGCTGGGAATAGCGAGCTTGCTGGGAATAACAGCCAAGCGTGTGGGAGACTGGTGAGACCGTGAGGTGATGGTAAGTGAGGGTAACTGTCGACCTGTCAGACGGTCGGCGACCTTGGCACTGGGTTAATGAAACCACCGCTCCAATGACGAGGATTTGGGTAATAGTCTAAGTTTCGGCACCGAATTAGAAAAGAGATTGGAGGCGGCCACGGGGGATATTCTTCGAGGCTTTGGACCCTGCACCATGTCATTTTAGAGTCAGTCAGTGCCTGTCATGAACTCATGGTGTCTCACCACTCGAGTCGACAACAAGTCACAATTCCACGGGAATTCTTCGAAGAAGCCCGAGGAAATGGTTTGGCTACGCACAAACAACAAGAGGGCTGAAGAGCCGGAGAGTGTCAATGGCTGCAGCCTACCACACAAGACAGCCGATGGACGGCTTGGACCCGGACGGGGCCCCCAAAAACGGACGCCAATGGCACCGTAATACGAGTGGAGCGGACCGGTGAGACAATCAGTTCCTGAATCGAGAGTAGTTCATGTTCACGTTTCTTCTGACTCTCCCTCCCGTGTCCCGCGTTCCGCGTCTCCTCCCACATTGCCTTTTTCCTCCTTTTTCTTTTTTTTTCTGCCCGGCCTCCCAACACCGTCTCATTGCCGACGTTGCCACGGTGCCTGTCACCTTGAAGACAATGTCTGTGCTAAAAGTTCTTTAGTGCACTTCCCAACATTGAACCTGCATTAGCAGCAATTTTGTTCTGACGGAGAAGCTCGCCTCCGTCCACTGGCGTGCAGCTTACCGTATTTGTAGATGGCTGCTTCGGTTTTGTGGTGAACAGGCAGATAATGTGGGCGGCGCACGTTTGACAGGCGGCTGCGGCTGGACACTTGAAGAATTAAAAGACTGGGTAACGGCGAAGCTGATCTTTTCACTAGAGGCAGTTGGAGGCGAAGTCTTCACGTCTTTCGCAAAAAGAGAAATAAAGTGGCACCACACTGAGAAAACGGTTCAGTGTGAACAAGACAGGCTTGCTTGCATAGGGGATGCAACTAAGACGGCGCAAAAAGGAAGCATTCGCGACGAACCCCTCAATTGATGCCGGGACCGGTCCGTTGAAGATGGCCTCTCTTTGGAGGAAAGAGGATGCGAATATGCTCCTCTCCTCCGGACCCCTCTCATATGGAAGCCGTTAAGAGAAACAATTGACACGCCAAGAGCCATCACTGCATAGATGGAGCGTGCGAATGTCACCATCGCTTTTCCAGATGCGGGCGATTCATCGCCGCACTTGGCCCCCAAATCGACTCAACTCGTCGAGTCCCCTCGTCCTCCTCGTCGCAGTGGATTTGATTCCCTGTCACCAGCCTCGTGGGAAGCTGGTAAACTGTAGAGCGAGAGGCAAGAAAGGGTCGGAAAAAAAAGTCCTGTCTGTCTGGTGTTTGAGGAGGGGACCCATTGCGACCCTCTCGTGGGCCCGAGGGACCCAATTCTTTTCTTTCCACGCGTGGTGAGCCCCTTGGCGGAAGGGACCCCCGAGGTTCGCTTTTCGGAGCTAATGCGGGGGAAGCCATTCCAGACAATGGGCTCGTCGGACGGTAACTGAACATGGCCATTTCACCGGCCACTAAGAGCACCAGCTAAGACCGACTTGGCTGATAGTGTGTGAGGCTGGATTACCCGAGATGTGGTATGCCCCATCTGCCGACATTTGCTGACAACCGCGGCCCTGAATCTTGAATACCTACCTACACACACACTGAGCCAAAGGCCCAAAGCCTCGAGGATGGAAAGCCGAGGGTACCTGAGGGAGAGGGGAGGGGACCCAGCCAGAAGGATTCAAGTCCCGCTTTCATCACAGCCCAACGCTGAAGATCGGTCTCCCATACAGGAAAGGCTCTGGTCGAACTCCGATGGAACCTGCCGGGGGGTGTGTACCGTGGATTCCGCCAGATGCAGGTCTGCACACACACTTGCGTGTGTGTGTGATGATCCAGGGGTGCGCGCACATTCGGCCTTCCACTCACGGCATGACTGACAGGGCCAGGCCGCACACATCACACGCAGGCACGCACGGCATGTTGCGTGGGAAGTTCCACTCCCAAATTCGGGGGTGCATATCCATATCTTGAACCGGTCCCTCCAATCTTCCCTTCTCGTCCGGTCCCTCATGAAATGGAGAACCTCTAGAACGAACCGTCCCATTTTGTTGCGGCTCTTCTCGGCGCCAGGTCCCTCCTTGGACACGACTCGTTCGTTCGGCCGCGTTTACTAGTATCGCATCGACATCATACGACTTCAATTCTTTCGATTCGATGGCGACGGCCGAAGACAACGAGAACCGCGGCCCCGAGCTGTTCGCCGTCGGCGTCACGCTCGTCACGGCCGCCGGCATAGCGATCCTCCTCCGATGCTATGCCCGAATCTGCCTCGTCAAGAACTTTGGATTCGACGACTACTGCATGTTGGCTGCTATGGTACGGAGCCCTTCGTCTGCATCGATCTGGGTTATTGGATCAGGACTGACTGGATTGTTCTTAGGTTTTCTTCGCTCTCTTCGTTGCATGCGCACTCACAGGTATTCACTATGGAACGGGACGTCATTACTGGGTATTGGAGGCACAGGATCGGGCAGACGCAATGAAGGTAAGTTTTCTGAGGATAAGCTCATCGTCTCGAGAATTGTTTGCTAATGGCTATTAGTTCTGGTGGTTTTGCTATCTCTGGTACTGTCTGTCGATGATCTCGTCCAAAATCTCCATTGGCTGGTTCCTGCTTCGAATTACCGTCCGAAAGATCGACATCTGGATCATTTACTTTGTCATGTTCTGCACCGTCTGCACCGGCGTCGTCTTCTTCTTCGTTACTTTGCTTCAGTGCCAACCGATCTCCTTCTTCTGGGAGCAGTACACCGGCGCAACCAACGGACACTGCATCAATATGGACGTCATCATCGCCCTCACCTACCTCTACAGCGCTTTCAGCGTCATCTGCGACTTCACCTTTGCGATTCTCCCCATCATTCTGATCTGGAAGCTCAAGATGGACCGCAAGACAAAGATTGCGTTGATTCCCATCATGGCCATGGCCTGCATGTTCGTGATGCCCCTCAAATCTTCGTTTCCTGGAACTCTCCACTGACCTGTCCTTCCAGTGCCAGCGCAGCCGTTGTTGTCCGCATGCCTTTCGTCAAGGACTTCAAAAACATTGATTTCTTGTGTAAGTCCCACTTTCTTCCTCTTTCACTCGCGATCGGGGTATCCCACGATCGAATTTAAGGTTGGTCAAGGTACTGACTCGCGCTCCCGCAGATGCAACCGTAGATATTGCAATCTGGTCCACCACGGAGCAGGGTCTGGCCATCACGGCGGGCAGCCTTGCGACCCTCCGCCCGCTGTTCCGCATGGTCGGGTACCGACTCGGCTTCACCTCCATGGGCCCCTCCGCGCTGCACGACTCGGAGCGCGGCAACCCCTCCGCCATGGGCGGACACCTCAAGGACGTCAGCAACAACAGCAGCGCCAGCCGCCACCAACGGCGCGGGCCGTTCAGTCTCACCACCTTCATGGCCAAGGACGACGCCGAGGCCCACGAGCTGGGCAGCAACAGCGACCAGGGCGAGAACCAGAACAAGTTTTCCTCGGGTAAGCGCCGCGTGTGGGAGTCGCAGGGCAAGCGCGACAACGAGAGCGAGACAGAACTGACCTTTGAAGCCTCCAAGGAGTCAAGTCAAGGGGGCGACAGGGGGGCCGGCGACAACCGCGATATCGTCGTCGTGCAGACCTTCTCGTTGAGGGAAGATCGGTTGTAGATGTAAACTTATTGTACCTAATTAATGAACGTAAAATAATTCCACCAACTCATGCCGAGGAAACGGCCAAAGGGGCATAGAAAAGCAATTCAAAAGCACGCTCTTTTATTTATCCTGGTGCAGATCTCTTGCGTGTTTGCTTGTCAAGACAGTGCGATCGATCATGTTCCGAGTGGACGCCACGAAGCTTGGTGGCAGGGCCGTGACAAGGGCTGGCTGCTGTGTAACATGCACTCGTTCGGCGTGACTCAATGGAAACATCGCAACGTTGCCTTGTCTCGGGTGTCCTGCCAGCGCAGCTTGTCTCGGCGGCCACGAGCCATATACGCGGAGACTTTCGAATTTTAACAAGACATTGAGATATAAGAGATTGCTAGTGCCTTGGAGCGAGTATCAATGGAATTTTGACCAAGTCATATGCAGAAATATTCTTCGAACTATTGCATTGAGTCCAACCAAAAAGACAGTATACGCTGCAGCAAGTATATTCACTCAGCTCTTCTACAATGGACGAAGAATTAGTGGGAAACTCCTTCCAGTCGGGGAGGCTCATCTTCAGGGCTATTGAAGATGACGAGGACGACAAGAGGTGGTTTCACGATCAGATCAAAAACGACCCGGTCGGGTTCGCACTCGGAGACTCCAATGTATTACGGCCGCAGACAAGACGCCGCAGTGATTCATTGCTTCTAGAGATTCAAGGTTTCCTCCTGGGCGTCATCATCTGTCTCCCCGCCGCAGACGGAGCAGCAAGTCCTCAACCAATCGGCGTGGTTGCACTCAACGATGAGGCGGGCGACAATTACCGCCATCACCATCGCCTCGCAGTCCTCAGCATTTCCATCGCGAAACCGTATCGGAATCTGGGTTATGGCGCTGAGGCAATCAACTGGGCGGTCGACTGGGCCTTCCGAAAAGCCAACATCCACTCCATCAGTCTGGGCTGCGTCGAATACAACGACCGCGGGAAGCATCTGTACGAGAAGCTGGGCTTCGTTCTAGAGGGCCGTTACCGCAAGTCGCATTTCCACGAGAGACAATGGTGGGACGTGCTTCTGTACTCAATGTTAGAGGACGAGTGGAAGGGATTGAGGGGACAGTAGTGGAGGGGGTTTCCAATGGAAGCCTGCGAGAGTCAATCAGGTCGCCCGCGTTCCATTTGGTATCACTATCATGATCTCGTCCAAACTAAGACCATTCAGATATCTCGAATTCCCAGACATCGCCCCATGTATTTTGTACAAGGTCATGAATGGGCTCGAAGGTTCATGACTCCCTTTTGTTCCAGCATGTCGACATATTTGTTTACCGTGCCAGTCGGTCACAGTCCATTAGCCACATTAACACAATGCGGATGCGGCCTACCCACGGAACTGGCTATTCGTACTCATCTGCTGCGCCAACGCAGCCTCCAGGCGGTCCATTCGCATGGCTTGAGCTTTCGCAGACTGTTCCTGTTCAGTCATGCGACGGTTGAGTCGCTGCTCCAGCAGACTAACCCGGTTGCTCAGGGTGCTGAACTGTTGATCTAACGACGTCTTGCTTACTTCGACCAATGTCCTACAGTTGCCGATTAATGTGGTATTGGTTTGGATAGCATCCTCCATTCTCGCCAGACGTTCTTCAACAGCAGGGCTGGTTATGCTCTGGCTTTTCAACCCGCTTTCCAACTTGGAAAGCCTGGCACTCATGCTTTCATCCATGCTGTTCCGCAATAATTCCACCCTCGCCATCACCGACGCGAGATGCTTGCCTGTTGTGGCCAGCCGGTCATCGACCTCCTCTGCAAACTCTTGCTGCCGGTATTGTATCCCTTTGAGGGTCTTCGTCGTGACTTTGGCACTTGCGTCTACACGCGAGATACGGTCATCCGCAATCTTGATTCGGGTATCAAGCTTATGGTCTCGATCAAGCTGTTCCCTCTGTTCTTTTCGTCTTGCTGCCATCGATTCAATGTCTAGTAGACTCGCCCGATTTTTGTTGGCTTCTTCACGTTGAGTCTGCCATTCTCTTGCTTCGTCGGTAGTTTGACGACATGATTCAACTTCCTTGCGGAGTGAAGAGAGGTCTGCAGCAAATGTATCAAGTTTTTCCAATGCTGTCTGGCATTGGGATGCTGTGAAAACGGTAAGATCATTGTGAGCTTTGTGGACATCACGGGAGAGGTCGCCAGATTCCCGAACAAGCTTCACCTGCTCTTGAAGCGTTCGGATGTTCTCGTCGTGCTCGACGGTCGTCCTATCAAAGTCACCAACCGCCTTTTGAAGAGCGTGGAGCTCGTCTTTGTGCTCGCCAAACGTGGCTTCAAGGGTTTTGACGTTCGCAGACTCGCTGGTAGTCTTTTCAAGGCTGTCGACGACAGTCTTGAGAGTATGGAACTGGTCCCTGTATTTGCCAAAGTCGGTTTCAAGAGACTCAACTTTGGTGTTGAACTCGTCGTTCGTTCCCTTAAGGCTGTCCACTGCGTTGGCGACTACTTGAGACTGTTCGCTTTGGTGGTCAACCTTGGCTTCGAGTGAGTCAAGCATGGCATTGAACACGTCGTTCATTTTCCTAAGGCTATCGATTGTTTTGGTGACTGTTTGAGACTGTTCGCTCTGCCGGTCAACCTTGGCTTCGAGTGAATCAAGCGTGGCTTTGGACTCCCCGCTCGTCTTGTCAAGCATGACAGTCGACGCTCTTAAGGAGTTTAGGATATTCATATGCTCATTCAGCTTGGTCGTCGAATTCTTGGTGAGTTGAGCAACGGTCTCCTCCATGGAGCTCAGTCTTCCTAGATTCCCGTCGACTTTGGAACTTAGAATCGTGAAAGCCGCACTGTGAACACTAGTTTTGCCCAACTGGCTAGTCGTCTCTTCTGATTTTGCAAGTCTCAGTTTGAAAGTGTCAAGCTCAGCCCGATAATTCCCAATGGTCGTTTGTAGGTGGCTGGCTTTTGCCTCAAGCTCTTGCAGTGACTGCGTCATGTTTTCGTCCGCTCCCGCCTTGCCTTGGAGAGATTGCAGCAACGTCTCCTGAGCGTGAGCAACAATCTTGTTGTGATGATCGTCGAGCTGCCTGTGGTAGTCGTCCAGCCGCTTATGATGGTTGTCCAGTTGGCATTTTTGATCGTCAATCTGCTTCTGGTGGCTGCCAAGCTGATGCGACTGATCGCTAGATTTCCTCTCAAGATCATCCACCCTTTGCTCGACAGATTGAAGCGCCTCGCTTTGCTTACCAGCGTCTTCTTGGAGTGATTGCAGTGCCTCTGCATGAGCATTGGCCTTTGAGGGGCCCGGCATTGTCGCCTGCTCGGCGACATTGCCGACATTGCCGTGGGACTGAGGCGATTTGAGCTTTTTCTCGTGCTCGCTAACCTTTGTCTTGAGGAAACTCAGAGCTGTTTCTTGCTTGCCCGTTTTGGCTTCGAGTGAACAAAACTTGTCCTTGTGGTGGTCCGACTTTGCTTCAAGAATGCTGAGTTGTTTTTCGTGGGCGTTGGTCCTCATTTCGAAGGAAGATAGAGAGCCCCAATACTGGCTGGTACGCGTCTCAAGACCGCCCACTCTCTCTTCACTTCTGCTGGACTTTGATTCCAGAGAAGCCAGCCTGGCTCGATGGTCGTTTGTTTTCGTATTGAGTTCGAGAAGCTGGACTCCGTGTTCGCCGGCCCTTGACGCGTGAGAATGAAGCATACCAGCATGTTCTCCGGCCTTTTCTTCGAGATACTGAAGCGTGTCTCTGTGCTCGCCGGCACGTTCGTTGAGAGAATCAAGTCGATCTTCATGCTTAGTTCTAAGCTCCTTAAGCGCATCACTGTGCTCTCCAGCACGTTCCTCGAGAGAATCAAGTCGGCCCTCGTGCATGGTTCTAAGCTCTTTAAGCGTATCTCTATGCTCACTAGCACGCTGGTTGAGAGAATCAAGTCGATCCTCATGCCTAGTTCCAAGGTCCTGAATATCACTCGTGGTCTTTTCAATCATGGCGACCAATTGATGTGATGTGTGCTTCTCAGTGGGTCCAGATCCTGGTTCGAAATGAGTTGCGTCCGCTTCCACGTTATCAGGAGCTGGACTAGGTGCTCTCGCCCATGGAGAGGGTAGATCGTCCTCTATGCAACGGCGCTTGGTGGGAGTTGGATCGAGCTCGCCGGGGTGGGGCTTGCGCTTCTGGGCAGGGTTTCCCTCGAACTGGATGAGCTCGTCGACGGTGACTTCCATGGCGTTTGGTGTCAAAGGCCTAGAAGGAGGAGAGGGCGGGGGTTGGGGGTCGTTATTTCTGGGAGGAGGGGCCATGGATGTTCGGGTAGACGACTGGTCACGGTCATAGCCAGTGCTCTGAGAGCGAGAGCGCAAGCCTTCGCCTTTGATTCTGAAGGGAGCAGGGGTGCCTCGATCTTCAGGAAAGCGACCAAGAGTAGGGGGGTCATCAGGGTCGATGAGGAGAGAGTAGTCGCCGTGTTGGAGGAAGCGGTCCCAATCAGCATGAAGCCTCTCCCATTCGGCGGTGATGTCGTCTCTCCTGGGCCATCTGGGCAGGGGAAGGTCGCCGCCGCGGGTGACCCAGGCATCAATGAGGTCGGTCAAGAGATCCTCATGGCGCCTTTGGATGTGGCGGTTGTTGAGGTATGCGTCGCGACGGTCAGCGTAAAGGTTGACGATGAATTTGGTATCGGAAACATTTGTTCCAATTCCCCACTTGAGACGGACGAATTTCCAGAAGTTGTCATGGTCGAAGGAGAGATGCTGTGCCATGAGCAGGAGGCGGAAGAGGACGACGAGATTGATCCAGATGGTGCGTTTGCGATAGTAGAAATCCTTGGTTTCGTCTGCGCCTTTTAGGGGCTTGTCATACTTGCCGCCCAGGCGTCTCACGTGGACAGGATTGAGGAAGAGAGCGTTGGACTTGATGGGATCATCGGGCCAGGGGAGGACTGCCAGGGATACGCCGCTGATGAACCATATGTCCTGGGGGGTCCTCTGGTGGTAGTCCCGTTTTACCATTTCGACGGTTCAGCCGGAGGCTCTCCAGCTCCAGCTCCAGCGCGGGTGCCGTGGGATGAAGTCACGACTGGGTCGTGGTGGCGGTGGTCGTTTTGAGATTCATGGAATGAGATGTGAGAAGGGCCAGGTGGATGTGTGGAGGGACGGAGAGGATGGCCCGGTTCGACGTGGTGGTGGTGGAGGAGGTGTAGGGTGTGTGGTATGTGGTGTGGATGAGAGTGAGACATTGGGGGAGCTGGGGCATCTGGTGTCGCGGTCGCGGAGGTGGATGAAATTCTTCACCTATCGACAGGGGTCGCGGTCACGGCCACAGCACCCGCCCACGCGTCACTGTGCCCCTCTGCGTCCAGTAATACCGTATCGACCACATTGCTGCCCAAGCTTCACCTGATGACCGAAGACAGGAAGCTTCACAATGCCAAGGGCAGCACCTCCCCTAAAATCCATCTTCACTCATCCATCATACCTTAGGTAGGTACGGAGGAGGCACGTAGCTCCTTCCATCGGCGCATGTCCCGGTCTCCGGCCCCGCCGTTCATCCAATTTTCTTTATTCCCCGTCTCTTATGTCACGGTTCCCTCGAGACACACATTCTCCAACACACACACACACACACACACATGCGTTCGCTGTCATTGTTACACCAAACACGGGAACTCGCAAACCGTTTGTAAACAACGACAACAGCCGCAATAATTACACACTAATTACAAAGTGCCCGTCTACTCCATCACCAGCACACTCCGGAAACGCACCGTGTTGGAAATCATGTGCTCCGACGCCTTCCGCGCCTCCGCCAGAGGAAACTTCTCGACCATGCACTTGACCCCGTGTGTCGCCGCAAAGTCGAGCGCCGCCTCCGTGTCAATCTGATGTCCGCTCGGCCACCCGCCCACCGACTTGCCGCCGATAATCAGGTCCACCGAGTCCACCTCCAGCTTCCCGACCGGCGCCAGCACCAGCAGCTTGCCCCCGGGCATGAGTCCGCCAGTGAGGGGCGAGATGGCCTTGGCGTGAGGCGCCGTCGCCACGATCAACGCAGCACCCCCGAGCTCCTGCAGCCTCTTGACTGGGTCCTCCGCGCTGGTGTCAATGTACTCGTGCGCACCCAGCTTCGTCGCAAACTCCTTCTTGGACGAACCCGAGCTGAGAACTGCCACCTTGTACCCCATCTTATTGGCGTACTGCACCCCGAGGTGGCCCAGCCCGCCGAGACCCTGGATCACCACAAGGCTGCCGTGCTCGATGCCCTGTTTGCGGATGCTGTTGAACACCGTCACACCAGCGCAGAGCAGCGGCGCCGAGTCCGCCGGGTCCATGTTCTTCGGCACGCGAACAACCGCTTCCGCCCGGAGAAGCACGTACTCGGCGTATCCGCCATCCATCGAGACGCCGTTGACCGCCGTGTTTTGGCATGTCTGGAAGAAACCCTTTTGGCATTGCGGGCATGTTCCATCATGGCCTGTTGTAGCAGTCAAATGTTAGCAGATGTCTTCGCTACTTATCCCATGGGAAAGGACTTACCTCCGTGCCAGGCACCTCCGACCCTCTCTCCGCCTTGGAATCTTGTTACGCCATCCCCAACTGCCACCACATCGCCGATTATCTCATGGCCGGGGACACGAGGAAATAAGCCGTCACCAAAGCCTCCCTCCTGGACAACCACGTCAGAATGGCAGACGCCGCAGGCCAGTACCTTGACCAGGACCTGGCCTGGTCCGGGCTTCTTCAGCTCCTGGTCAACAATCTCAAGCGGTGCGCGCACCGACTTGATCACGGCCGTCTTGTACGTCTTCGGAAGTGAGGCCATGTTGGGTGCAGTTGGTGAAGTATGTGATATGAATGACTAGGGGTTGCAGTTGAAAACTCAACATCAAAGTGAGGATTTGGTTCGGTAGTTAGTTTGACAATCTCTCGAGGATAGGCCGGACTAGATTGTCTTTAAATACCAGAGCACCAGTCCACGAAAGGGCATCTGGGTCTATCGGTCACCACGTAGGCAGAGACTAACTCCAGCTCCAGGTTACTAATACCCCTCATCTCAACACCATCAGACAGTCAACGACAAGGATCTTTGGCGCCTCCGCAGGTAACGGAGACTCCGGCTGGACATGGGGTGCGAGCATATTTTGCCATATTCGTCTGGGACCTACATTTACGCAGTGCCTTATCGGGAAGATCTAGATCTCGGCGTCTCTTGATAGGCCAGCTGCTTATGAATCTTGCTCACGAACTGTCAGTCTAGCGCATGGAGCCGAGAAGGATGGCTTCAAATGAGCTTTTTTTGACTGGTTGATCGGATATCAAGTCAACATCCTTTTGGAACCTCATAGCTTGAAGTGACGTCTGGTCTTCAGTTGCGGCCCCGTCCCGTACACTGAACCCCGGCGCTGCTCCACCTCCGCCGTGTGCTCCGTGGGCACCGTGGGCACCGTGGTCTCCGGGAACAGACTAAGAGTCAAAACCGCATTAGTGCGCGTGAGGTTTTGCTGTCCAACGCTTGGCATCGTCTCCAGATGTTCTGCAAGAGCGTTGTAATTCCGCGCCAACTCATGCATCTCCCCTCCTAACGCCGATGGCAGCTAGGGATCGCAGCTTGACGAGCGATGCAAGGTCCTTAGTAGGTAGCGGTGACAATCGCCAAGTCTCTAAATAAGTGAGGGGTGGCTTTGGTCGTCGAGAGTCCAGAGCTTCGGATGACATCAACAAGACCGAATTTCTTCATCACCCCTCAAATGAAGGTCCTAACACCGACGGAATAACTCAGATCAAGCGTAACTCCAGCACGCCAACTAAAGCTAATATCCGGGTTACAGCCTCGCTGCAACCATGTCGTCCGGTCCCAAGACAAGTCGATGTCAAATCCATAACGCCGTCAGGCCAGGATGTACGAGCATGCTGATCATATCCGTGGCGGAAGGGATCTCCCGGCTCGGGAATCGAGTCGTCCATATCGCCTCTCATATCCTCGTCAATCCCGCCCGCCAATCACATATTGATCCCTTTTCGGGCTTACAGCTCACCTTTCTCCAAACCCGACAGTCACGGAGCAGGGCCGGGGGAGCTTGGATCAGCCCCAGAAGTCCCATTTACTGATTCAATCCAGGTATGGTACGTCATGAACAGCAAACCGCCAGCCCTACCGGACCAAAGTCCATCCCATTCGAGCTGATCCAAGCTCCGTCTTCCACAGCACTGAGATCTGACGCTTCACCATCAAACTAGCTCGCGGCTCGGTCTCAACAAAGGTCCAATCCGGCAATTCCTAATCCCCGTCCGAGACATGGCTAATCGACACAGACAGCGGGGTTATCCGCCCTGCTACGCCCGCCGAGCCCCTCCAAAGTGACCCAGAAACCAAGCTCCTCCATCTCTCCCACGCAAGCTCGGTCTTTCGCGCGTTGGAACAAGCCTTTTACTAGCGAAGGCATGCAGCGCGTGCATAGCTCCAAATCCACATGTTCGGAAGCAGATCAGCGCTGCTTCACTGAGGTACCATTCCATTCTCCGACGATGGAGCTTTGTTCGTTCCTTCGACGTAGACGCGATTGGGATGACTCGCCCCTCGCGCTTGCGAGCGCCTCTGCAAGCAGCGTGTACTCCATATAAGACCCCAGAGATCCTGCCAAGCTCTCGTGATGAATCCTGTTCCGTAGACTTAGTCGACAACTCAAACCTGGTAATCCTACGTAGCATCAGCACACGACACCTGTCCGCAAATCCACCAAAACCGATCCATTAGCTCTCAACATGTCGCTCCAAGACAAGGTCATCGTCATCACCGGCGGCTCCAAGGGCATCGGCCGCGCCATCGCCCTGTCGGCCGCCTCGCAGGGCGCCAATGTCGTCGTCAACTACAGCAGCGACTCCTCCGCCGCCGACGAGGTCGTCTCCAAGATTGGCAGCGACCGCGCCATCGCCGTCAAGGCCGACAACTCCAAGATGCCCGAGCTGCAGAAGCTCGTCGACGCCACCGTCGACAAGTTTGGCCGCATCGACGTGCTCATCCCCAATGCGGCGCTGATGCAAATGCGCACCGTCGAGAACACCACCGAGGAGGATTTCGACATCATGTTCAACACCAACGTCAAGGGTCCTTATTTCCTGGTTCAAGTATGATTTTTTCCTTCTTTCCGGTTTTGGGGGTTTATGCATCAAATACATCAAAGGCCCGCTGTGACTAACATGTCCCAGAAAGCGCTTCCCCACATGTCCGAAGGAGGCCGTATCATCCTCCTTTCAACGACCGTCCTCGCATCTAGCAGTCTACCTCCCAACTACCTCCTCTACGCTTCTACGAAAGGCAGCATCGAGCAGATGACCAAGTACATGGCCAAGGACCTCGCCACAAAGGGCATCACCATCAACGCCATTGCCCCTGGTCCCACCGGTACAGACCTCTTCTACAAGGACAAGACGCCAGAGATGGTGCAGCGGGTCACAAGCATGAGCCCCTTCGGCAGGATCGGCACGCCAGAGGAGATTGCAGACGTCGCCATCTTCCTTTCTGGAAAGGGTTCATCATGGGTCACAGGACAGGTTATTCGTGTCAATGGCGGAACGGCCTAAGGTTGAGACTTGGAAAGTGTATGCTACGCATTCAGTGCTGGTGAAAGTATAGAAAGATTCCCATTGACGCCTGGCCTTGATTCTCCAAAGCCTGATTGATTCCATCGCAATCCCATGTCATCGTTGTCGTCTTCCTTGCATCATGCATGTGACTCTAGCTTTATTACTGCGCTCCCAGGGCCGCGAGCGCATTGCGAAGCTCCTTGACAGCCGTCGGGACGTCTTCAAAGTTGAGCGCGGAGATGGCCCACTTTGCATGCTTCTGTGCCTTGGGCAGGTCCAAATCATCCATCGGCCCGTTATTGGGAGTCCAAGAGTTGTTCGAGATGGGCACGACGGGCGCCTTGGGCTGCTGCGGGACGGACGGCGGGGGCTTGAACTGCGGAGCGGCAGGCGGAGGTGTCGGCTTGGGTATTTGCGGTGGCTGCCACGGAGAGGCGGGGTTGGCAGGGCTGAAGGAGGGCGCGGCGGAACCGGCAAACGGCGACGGGGCCGAGGGGGCGTTTGCTGCCGCACTGTCGTTGGCGCCAGTTTGACTCAGGGGCGACGGAGGGAACTGTTCGGGGGGGTCAAAGTAGCCCTGGTTCTGCGGTACCGAGGGGTTCACATCGTTTCCTGAGGGAACGGAGGGCAGGTCAAGCACGCTCGACTGCGCGGGCTCGGTCTCGCTCGGTCCTTGTGACGGGGCCGGAGCCGAGGGGGCTGCCGCCTGTCTATAGAACTCGGTTTCCGGATCGTCCTCGACGGTGGGAGCTGGCGGTGGCGACGCCAGTCCTAGGACCTCGGGATCGTTGGGGTCCAAAGAGGGAAGAGCTTCTTCGGGTTCTGGTTCTTTGGGGTTCGATTCGTTGGGATCCTTCCCCTCCTTGATGGCCTTCAATATGCGAGCAGCGTTCCACTTTGCGTACTTGACCTTCTTCTGTGTCTCGTCGTCGATTTGTCCCCAGATGTTTCCCAGCAGGAAGAATGTCGCGGCGGCATCGTACGTATCGGCAGTTTTCCTGATAAGGCACATCCGTAAGAGTGTGCGGATAATGTAGGACTTGCCAGAGACTGCCTACCTGGTAACTTTGTTCGCGCGCATAACCTTCTCTGCGCGATCGAATGTCTCCTGGGCAAACTGCTCGACATAGGCTTGTCCGACGGTATCGTCCGTAATGGCTTCTTCTGCAGCATTTTCGGTTTTTGTCTATTACCGCGTGTTAACGGTATGGATCTCGTGTATGTTCCAATCCAAGATAGGTGCTTACCCTCTCAAGACGGTCCATCAAGTTGGTGGTGTAGGCCAGACTCTCGTCGTCGACATTGTGCAACTGCTTGGCCAGGATCTGGTTGATAACCCAGTATTCGCCTAGATGCGCTGTCAGCCTCGGTGGTCGGGGAAGGTGCGGCGGACTCCATGGCACGCACACCAGTAGGTAACTGCGGGCTTGAAGTCGCGCAGCTGGTTTGCGCGATTGATGAATCTCGTGATGTCGGCCTGTCGCAGGCTATCGGGGATTGGGTCGGCCATGGTGGGCTGGCAGGGCGGGTTGCGGCGGTCAAGCCTAGAGGTTCACAGCTTGCAACGGACACGGGGAGAGTTGAAGACGCGTCGGATGTGTCGAGCGGGAAGAAATCGACGGGATTTCGGGGGCAGGACGCTCACGGGCCGGACATGCGACGAGGGGTGCAACGCCGAGATGTTGGAGACATGTTCTTGGACCTCGTGCTGCATTCGGATATCGCTGAGCGTTCAGTGGCCCCCCACTGTACGTACATGGCATCACTGGCGGGGAAGGTGGTCACCGGATGCAGAGATGGAGATACATCAGTCATGTATCTTCCTCCTTGCTTGTTGCCTGCGGTAGAGGGAAGGTACTGGAAGCTTAGGTACAGTGCACCTACCATAGTACCTATGTCTCCGCGCCACACCGTTCAGCTGGTCAAGCCTCAATACGTACTGACTCCTGGATAGAGATGTGGCTCAAGCTCCAACAGCTCGTGTGGGGTCGTGGCTTGCTCTCCTCCCTCGATGCACAATGCACGGTGCACTGCAGAGCAGTCAATGGCTGCCTGTCATTGACTGGAAATTTCCACGGTTCCATTCACGGTCGAATTGAGCCTGGCAATCGGACCAGGCCATGCGCCTAGGTGAGGGGTTCGCGTCTCACAGTTCCACGCTGGCCTCTTTCCCAAATTGAAAAAGATGCCAACTTGACTTCTTCTTCCTTCTTCTTTTTACCTGCTTCCCTTCTTCGTCCCAAGGTTCCCCAATCCCTACGGGTCTTTAATTGCAGACGACGTTCTCTTGAGAGCTGCCCTTCTGGCCGAACCTGAACCTAGTTCCAAGCTCTAACACACAATTCCTCCCACGCCTCTTGTCCAAATCTCTCTTTACCACCTCCCCCTCTCTTACACCACAACCAACTAAAATATTCCTGGCGTCACATCCCTTCAGACCCCCCACTCAGGTCGCTCCTCAACTCGACCTTATCCACCGTGATGCATCACCCCACACTGCTCGCCGCCGCCGGCGTTGCCGTGCTGTCGGCCCTGCCCGGAGTCAATGCCGGCATGTACACCAAGAGCTCGCCCGTCCTGCAGCTCGACGCCCGCAGCTACGACAAGCTGATTGCAAACTCCAACTACACCTCGGTATGCGCCGCCACCCCCGCTGACCAATCTCCAGCCTCCGTTCGCTGACTTACACACCCAACCAGATCGTCGAGTTCTACGCTCCCTGGTGCGGACACTGCCAGAACCTCAAGCCCGCCTACGAAAAGGCCGCCAAGAACCTCAACGGTCTCGCAAAGGTCGCCGCCATCGACTGCGACGATGACGCCAACAAGCCCTTCTGCGGCGGCATGGGCGTCCAGGGTTTCCCGACTCTCAAGATCGTGAGACCCGGCAAGAAGCCCGGCAAGCCCATCGTCGAGGACTACCAGGGCCCCCGTACCGCCACCGGCATCGTCGAGGCTGTCGTCGACAAGATCACCAACCACGTTAAGCGCGTCACCGACAAGGATCTCGACTCCTTCCTCGAGGGCGACAAGCCCAAGGCCATTCTATTCACCGAGAAGGGAACCACCAGCGCCCTCTTGCGCAGCGTCGCCATTGACTTCCTCGACGCCGTCAAGGTTGGCCAGGTCCGCAGCAAGGAGTCTGCAGCTGTCGAAAAGTTTGGAGTCAAGTCTTTCCCTACTCTGGTTCTCCTGCCTGGTGGCGACCAGGAACCCATTACCTACGATGGAGAGATGAAGAAGGACGGTCTGGTCAAGTTTATTTCTCAGGTCGCCGAGCCTAACCCCGACCCTGCGCCCGCCAAGGACAAGAAGAAGGCTGAGAAGAAGACGGAAAAGAAGGAGGAGAAGAAGGCCGACAAGAAATCCTCCGCCAAGCCCGCCGCTGCCGAAGAGGCATCCCAGGAGGCCGAGACGCCCACCGAGACCCCCGCTACCCAAGAGACTCCTGCTGCTCCTGCCACTCCCGCTATTCCCGTCATCGCCACTCCTGAGACTCTCCAGAAGGAGTGCCTCAGCCCTAAGTCTCACACCTGCATCCTCGCCTTTGTCCCGACCAAGGAGAACGAGAAGGCCCAGAAGGCTCTCGGCAGCCTTGCTGAGCTCGCCCACAAGTACGCTAAGGGTCAGCGCAAGATCTTCCCCTTCTTCTCCGTTCCCGAGGAGAACACCGCCGGCGCCTCCGTTATTAAGGGTCTGTCCCTCAAGGGCGATGTCGAGATCGTTGCTCTGAACGCTCGCCGCAACTGGTGGAGACACTACGAGGGCGACTTCGACCTCGTAAGCGTCGAGAACTGGGTTGACGCTATCCGCCTGGGTGAGGGTGCCAAGAAGAAGCTTCCTGAGGGCGTGGTAGTCGAGGAGGTCGAGACCCCCAAGGAGAGCACCGAGTCTACTGCGGCTACTGAGCCCACCCCCGAGCCGGAAACTGAGGCTCCCAAGGAGGCGGCATCTGAGACCCCTGCTGCGCACGACGAGTTGTAAACAAAAAAGGCCTGCATGATGTTCTGTACGCATGATTAGCTGGAGTTGTACCATAGCAATCAGTAGGGAATCTGACCGATGATAATATTATACTTTCCACAGTCGTATGCGTCATATCCGCTGCAACAGTCCTATGATTCCATCTCCAGATCCAGACCAGTTCCCTTCTCCGCCGCACCCTCCTGCACCATCTGCCTGCCCTTCTCTTTCACTACCCTATCCATGAACTGCCGCACCTGCTTGCAGCCGTCTACGCCAACTGCCAGCATGCCCTCTAGGCGGCTGACCTGCACGCGACTCTCGCAGACCAGGACGGCAACGCGGTCCGTCAGACCAAGTGTCCCTACCGTCAGGTACGGCAACTCCTGCTCCTCCTGCGTGTTCAAATCCAGCAGAGGGTCGGCGCCATCGTCGGCAGCGGCATATGTTGATGTCGAGCCCGCAGTGCATGCGGCAATGTAGTCGGTCATGGGAATACCCGCGTCAATCAGGGCGAGAGTCGAGGCGTTCAGCAACGCAGCCAGCAGAGAGCCGTCCTGCGACAGGACGTGCAGCGAGATGGAGATGCTGCTGTGGGGGAAGAGATGGGTGTGGAGGTTCGCGGCGACAGCCTTGGCGATGGCAGCCTCGAGTTCTTGGTTGCGCCTGCAGAGACGAAAAACAGTCAGTCAATCATTGCCCCCCATCGTCGCATCTCGGGTTCACGGCGGCACCCACTTGTCATTGCGACCGCGCTTCCTGCGGTCGACTGAGCTGAAGCCGGCAACTACAATGTTAACGTTGACGGCAGCGTCCTTTGTCTGACCACCCGCGCCTCCGCGTCGCTGAGGTTCGCTCGGTCCCGTCACGACGCACATGACCTTGGTGTGTCCCATCTCGAGGTAGCTGGAGCCATCTGCGGCCTCTTGGGTGCGGATCTGGGCGTGCAGGCGTCGGAGTTCGTTCCAGCGGCGGCCGTCCACGCGCAGCAGCGCCATGGAATACGTTGATGTGTCGAGAGGCATCGTCGTCTGTTGTTGCTATCGTCAATTCCGGGGGAAAGGAAGATTGCTGCGAATTGGTGTGCTGGGAAATTCGAGAACAGATGATGTCGCGCGCAGACCGAACCAAAATTTTGGGAAGCGTCAATCCACCATGGCACTTGCCGCACGCCTGCGAATGCAAGCACCAAGTGGGATGGTGTGGCGGGGCCGCACGGCGTCGGTGTCGGTGCCCCGTCCTCCGTGATGCACGGGCCATTAAACCCTTGGGGCCCTGAGCCCAGCTCTCAAGGAAAGTCAAGAATCAAGATTCAAGACAGGCCCGCACTGTCCCTTCCCCAGATCGCGGGGAAGCTGCCTTACCCTGCCCTCCATCAACTGCAAGCCCAGAGCTACAAGAAACGGGAAAGGTCTTGAAACTAGAGCCCGAGTCCAGCATGGATGGTGCGAGTTGACGTGCAGGCCACACGACACCTCGTCCGACCAGCAACCCATTGGCGGGATCCGAAAACGCGGGGTAGCGAGAGTTAATGCTGCACCTAATATCCGGAACGCTTCTAACGGGACGGTCTATCGGGGGATTCAGCAGACCACGAGACCATGCCGCGAGGTGGTCTGACAGGAGGAACATGTTGCGCGGGCATTGTCTGTGTCGCCTGAGTACGATCCCGTCCCGTTTGCGGGTAGATTTACAGGCGATCACCGCTCACATACATCTCGTCACATCGGCAGATCAGGTACATCCGCTGTTAGTAATAAATCATGTTTCTCGTTCCTCGTCATGCTACAATTACATACAATCTCGTCGCAAGAGAAGAATGCGGTCGACCGCTGTGGCCGCCGTTGTGATCCAGTTCAAACCCAGTGCTTGCATTCCAGCCTGTCCCGTGCCGTACCGAATCCGTAAAGCCAATCCCAGAGTTACGAGTGAATAGGAAATGAGAGTTTCAGAGTGCGTGAGATGGGCTTTCACCATCGTCATTACGCCATGACCAAGACGCCTACGCTGGACGTATTGAACTCGGTAGGCGGCGGCACCAGAACAAGGTTGCTGCTGGGCTGAGGCTCGTCGTCAGGCCCATCGGTCCATCCTCGGTCGGGGCCCCAGCGAATCTTGCGGTTATTCGCCGCAGTTATTTCGAGGAGCCCTTTCATCATTGCACCCGATTTCTTAACACTTGGCCACGCGTCAAAAGTGACCGTGTCAAGCCAGGGCATCTCGTTCATGACCTCTGTAAGAAGAGATCGACAAAAGCCTTCGTAAAAGCCGTCTGAACGGCGGAATCCGTTGAAGATACCGTCGCTGGGGTCGCATTCGACCATGACCAGGAGTCGACGGACGTTGACGCATTGCTGCAGTCCTAAAGCTGGAGTGACTATCCATCCTCGTGGCGGCTTGCTCCAGCCGGGACCGAGTCGCAGCTCCAACGAGGTGATGTGGGATCGTGAGGCTGGCTTCATGCGGGCCAGCAGCGGCTTCTTGGTCTTGAAATACTTGCCCGGGTGAGTGGGAAAGATCCGGAACGAGCGGCTGCTGTAGAAGTAGTGGGAGACTTCTTGGTATATGGTACGGCAAACCCTTTGAATGCCGAGCTTTTTGTGGTATTTCTTATAGTTGTCTGGGTCAAGATCAATGACCTTGCCGTCGCCCTCGAAGTAGTAGTCGTACACCTTGAGGCGAAGTTCGGACGGCAGTGACATGAAGGGGAAGGGCTTCGCCTTCCGTCTGGCCTTCTTCTGCTCAAGAGAGAGCGCGCTCATGGGCAAGTTGTTCACCTCGCTGTCCCAGTCCGCTTCGGAGGCGTACGTCGAAGGGTAGGCGGAACTCAGTGGTGTCGTAAGAGTAGACGAGATGGGCGTGGGGTCATGCGACGGACCTAAAGCCCGGGAGACCTTGACACGGCGAACCATCATGGCGGATTGCTGTTGTCGTTCGAAGGATCAATGGCAGATTTCGAACAAAATATCGGTAGCCCGGATTATCTTAGGGCGAGTCGTGGAATCGGTCGTCGATAAGGAGGACGGGAGTGGCGGGGTGGCGGGGTCTTTGTCGCGCAAGGGTATCTAGCGGCAGTATGTGCAGAGATTTCAATAGCGATGAGGTGCAATGTTTAGGCGAGGCAGGTCAAGAGGCAGTCTGGAAGGACGCGAAGAATCACAGAGGGTGGTCCCATTGTGATCGTGGCATCGAACTTGGGGACCACCCTCTAGAATTCACCACGCGCGACAGCCATGGTGACCGTGTGAAGAAGCGGGACGGGGATGACTGGAATGGTTTGGAATTGGGCGGAGGCTATGGCGCTATGTGTCGTCGATTCAGCGATGGTGGAAGGTCGAAGGATCCTGCTCTTCGAAATGACCACAGAGGTGTAGATGGGAGAAGTAGCAAATTGGACAGATCGGGGTCGAGCTCGGTATATGTGAGGGGAGGAGGAAGACGAGGTGCGGAAAGCGCAGCACCTCAGCTCATGCATGAAGGTCACTGCCAGAGTACCAGACGCTGCCAGCACCAGAAAGACCGGAGACGAAGACGCGGACTGGATGCTGGGCTGCAGCGCCGGGACAAGGTTCGCACGTGAGCCCCTGCTGGTTTAATTGACTAAGCCTGATGAGCCGGGGCCAATCAGCTGAGGGCAGACCAAAGTGGAACGGCTTCTGCACCGAGAATGACCTCATTGGGCGAGACGGACTGTAACGCTGGGCTGCCTTAGTCATTCAATGTCGGAGAACGGATCAAGTTCGGCGGTAAGCGGCACTGAGGAGGACTGAGGAGGAGCTTGGACTCAGGCGGCCAGGCCCAATCAGAGCTCCAAATTCAACAGAAACCTTCCACACGATGGAGTGGGGTGACTCGCCAATGTACCCCTCCGGCACCAGCTACGCGTAAAGGTACTTGTGTGCGCTACGTAACTTTGCACCTGCCAAAGTGCAGGTCAGTGACCTTGACTTTGAGTGTGTGAGGTGGGTGGTGCTTCCCTCTGTGCCTCTCAAAAATTTCTAGTGGCTTCGTCAGGAATATCGCCAGCCCACTCCACCTGCTCCAACCTCGACAACGCCTGCCAGGCCTTTCTTCGTTGTCGGCGCATCACCTCCACCGCCCCTTGTTCACGACTTACGGTTGAACCATCTTTGGGTCTTGACACCCTTGCATTCATATACGCCGACATTGGCCCTTGAGACGTCATGCTGTCAAGGGCAGCTCGGTTCGCGCGCCTGCAGCCCTCTGCGGCGCAGCTGTATCGCCCAGTCGCAACACCACTGACGAGACCCCAATTCGTGGCCGCAACATGGAGCAGAAACTTCGCCCAGCAGAAGAAGCCAAAGAGCGCCTCTGGATCTGCCCCCAAGCCCGCCGATAGCCAGAAGCCTGCGGACTCAACACCCGAAACCACATCACCGAAAGCTTCAACCAACGCCTCCGATGCCGAAGCTAAGACAAACGCCTCCGATGCGACCGAAGCCCCCGAGGAACCCACACCGACCGGCCCTCTGCCCGATCTGACGCAGGGCATTCCGTCCACGCTTGCCTACGAGATGTCCGGCGCGACCAACAAGGCTGCCCTTGCTGCCATCGCCGAGGAGGATGCTGTCGCATCAGGTGGCGGCCGTGGCCGTGGAGAACTCCCCGATTCAGCATATGTCTCTTCAACAGACAGGAAAAGACAGCAGCTTGCCAACCGCATGTACCTTGCCTTCCTTGGATTCACCATCACTGGTGCGATCTACCTCGGCCGCAACTGGGACGACGAGATCGAGGCCAAGAGGCATGCCGAGGACGCACCCAACGGCTGGGGATTTGGAGAGTGGTGGAACAGAGTGAAGGCGCGTACAGGAGACTTCCTCAACTACTACCAAGAGCCCGCCTTCGAAAAGCTCTTGCCCGACCCGGATCCGTCCTTCGAGCGTCCCTACACTCTCTGCATCAGCTTGGAGGACCTGCTTGTCCACAGCGAGTGGTCTCGTGAGCACGGCTGGAGAGTTGCTAAACGCCCCGGTGTCGATTACTTCCTGCGCTACCTCAGCCAGTACTACGAGTTGGTCCTCTTCACTAGTGTGCCATTCGCTATTGGCGAGCCACTCGTCAGGAAGCTCGACCCTTACCGCTTCATCATGTGGCCCCTCTACCGCGAAGCAACCAAGTACAAGGATGGAGAGTTTGTCAAGGTATGCGTTTGTTCTCTTGTTCGTTTCTGCGACCAGGGCTAATTCAACTCAGGATCTTTCCTACCTTAACCGTGACCTGTCCAAGGTGATCATTATCGACACCAACGAGAAGCACGTTCAGCACCAGCCGGAGAATGCCATTGTTCTTCCCAAGTGGAAGGGCGACTCTTCAGACAAGGAATTGGTCGGCTTGATCCCTTTCCTCGAGTACATCCACACGATGCAATACGGCGATGTTCGCAAGGTCCTCAAGTCTTTCGACGGCAAGCACATTCCCACCGAGTTCGCGCGTCGTGAGGCCATCGCTCGTGCCGAGTTCCAGAAGCAGGTTGAGGCCAAGAAGAAGAAGGCGCCCTCTGGAATGAGCTTGCTGGGAGGTATGCTGGGCCTGAAGCCCTCTAACATGAGCCTCATGGTCTCTCCCGACGGTGAGCAGAACCCTCACGAGGCTCTCGCCCAGGGCAAGATGCTCCAGGATATCGCCCGTGAGCGTGGACAGCGCAACTACGAGCTTCTCGAGAAGGAGATTCGCGAGAACGGCGAGAAGTGGCTGAAGGAGGAGGCCGCCATGCAGGAGAAGATGCAGCAGGAGGCCATGCAGAACATGATGGGCTCTTTCGGCGGCTGGTTCGTGAAGAGTGACGACCCCAACAAGAAGCAGTAAAAGGGTGGACACTCCACTCAAACCAAAGCTAATGAGCACAAGCTGTGCGTTTTTACACTACACCTTTCTTCTCTCCTCTTACCAAAATTACTTGTACTTGTATTATCGGGGCGGGTTCCGGCGATGGAGAGGCGCCACAACTTGCATATAGACTTGACGACGCGTGGGTCTGCGCATGTACGAATCTCTGTATACTACCCTTACCTCTAGGCCACCTTGGAGAAGCTGGTGTAGCCAGCTTGGTGTATCTATGTGAAGATATTGAGTTCTCCAACACTGTTTTCGGTCGTGATGCACCGACCTTCTGAAGCGAGTGTATTTGATATTGGACACTACCAAAAAAAGCATGCCCGACGCCAGTTTCGTCGGATTCATCTCACATCAGAGTCCTCCAATCCTTGCTCCTAACTATCAGTGATTCCCTGGTATCTGGTATCTCGACGCAAAATGATTCCCTCAAAGACAACGTTTAATTCCCCAACCATTCCCAGCCTGACACCTGAGCTTATCCCAACCGCTCTTGCAGCCTACATTCTCGAGTCCTTCTTGGGTGGGTAATATCCCTGACGTCTACACTCCTCGCAGTTGGCATTCGAATAGCATTGGAATTTCCTAGTATCCAGGTCAGCGTCAAGGTTCTTTCATATGATGTAGTCTGGACTCACTCTTCTTTCGGGATCTTGTCGCAGTCGCAGGATTTCGTGCACCACTCTATAGTGATTTGCCGGGGCAAGAGCTTCCCCGCGGCCATGAGCGGGTCGATCTCTTGTGCGGTTCTGCTGTCGACCTTTGCAGTTGGCGCGGCAAGGCCGAGGCCGGCGAGGACGGCGAAAATGGTGAAGTGGGAGATCTGCATGTTGATTATGTTGAGGTATGCTCGAGGCTGAAGGTATTCTCAGAAGTGAATGGAGCGTCTTTGGGATGAGAAGTATTGAAGTGATGGTGCAGGCTGTAGTTCGTCTTGTGATGGTGTCTAGATGTCTTGACTGAATCTCCAATCTCAATGCGGATCTTGCTTCAGTTTATATACTCTTTCGCTGAGAGTGAAGAGCGAATGTCGAGCTTGAATCTCACTCAGCCTGGATTATCGCCAAGAGAGAAAAGGATCCCTAGTTCCTCTCTCACCTGTCACCGCCTCATCACCTGTCCGATGTTTGCTTCAGCCTTCAGCGGCCACCAGCAGCAGAAGCCTCAATTCCAAGACCTCGTGACGGCTCCACGTTGGCGACCTCGGCGATACCAACCCACCCCAGCCTGGTCTCGATCTGACCGGCGTTGAGAGCGGATGACAGACGTCGACAGGATTTCGATAGCGCAGCTGTCCTGTGGCGCGCGGCAGCGTCGTACGGGGCGCACAATGCAGTTGACAAACACATGGCGGGGTAGCAGTTGCATGCATGACAGACGACTTATAGACGCGAGCTCTGGGCCCGGTATACAGGGCAACCGGTAAGGGAGAGAGACAGAAAGGTGCACGCCAGATGTGCATGTTCTACTTCCAGCTCGTACCGCAGAAGACTTCGCTTGTGCGACGTGACAAGAGGCGCGTTGAACCGGGGGTCAGGTCCGTGAAGCAAATATCCGGTTGGCATGAGGTGATATTGCACACATACACACATACACACATCTCCAGCCTCCCTGCTCGGCAGCGGAGGCTTACCGGCCGTGGCGCAGTAGTCCACGGGCTCTCACAGAGTGGTACGGGGAGCACATGGCCGGTGTCGAGACATGGCGGGAGCGTCGAGACCTTGCCGCGGTTGGCCAGGCACGCTGGGTCATTAGGACAACATTGAGCTGAGAATTGTTACCCCTCACATGTGCTTGCGAGCCACAAATTCGCACACAAGACGCCCGAATGTTGCTTACTCGCCTCATCAGCGGTGAGAGGTTCAGTATGTGAAGAGTATGCGACGGGGCTGACCGAGACAACGAAGGCTGCGGTGCTGCATCAAAACGGCGAGATCCTGGAAGCACAAGATAGCCAGAGCTCGATTGCCAAAGACCGGAGCTTTAGAACGATGCTACGAGGCACAAGACTTCGGAGGCAGGTACGCTGACTTGTGTAGAACGCTGGTAACATATG